GATTGGCATCCGGCTCTATCCTTTAATGGTGTGGTAAGTATGATTGCAAACATTAAGGCAGAACCCCAATTAATTCAATAGATTCGGTCGGCACAAAAGGAGGACCCTCAGTTTACAAAAATTGTAGAAGAGGTGATGTTGGTAAAAAATGACAAATTCTCTATAAGCAGTGATGATTTGTTGAGATTCAGAGGTCAGATTTGTGTTCCTAATGATGGGAGTGTAAAAAACGTTATCTTGGAAGAAGCACATCACTCCCGCTATACTATACATCCCAGAAGTATTAAAATATACCAAGACCTAAAGAAAACCTTCTAGTGGAATGATATGAAAAAATAGGTAGCACTATTTGTGTCTAAGTGCCTAACATGCTAGCAAGTAAAAGTTGAGCATCAAAGGCCCGCTGGGTTGTTGCAGCCTTTGCCCGTGCTAGAGTGGAAGTGGGAGCACATCTTTATGGATTTTGTCTCCAACTTGCCTAGAACAAATTTAGGGCATGACAGCATTTGGGTCATTGTGAACCGGCTAACCAACGTTGCCCAGTTGTACATTAAGGAAATAGTGCGGTTACATGGAATTTCGGTCAGTATTGTATCGGACAGGGACACTCAATTTATTTCTAAATTTTGGGCTAGGACACAGTCAGCCATGGGGACGAGACTCACCTTTAGTACTACCTTTCACCCCAAATTGATGGACAATCAGAGATGACCATCTAGACCTTAGAAGATATGGTGAGAGCCTGTGTCATTGACTTTACAAGAAGTTGGAATGACCATTTACCCCTGATTGATTTTGCTTATAATAATAGTTTCCAAGCCAGTATTCAGATGGCACCATATGAGGCCCTGTATGGAAGGAAATGCAGGTCACCATCTGTTGGGACGAGGCTGGTGAAAGAAAGCTGTTGGGGTCAGAAATCGTCCAGGTAACCACAGATAAGATAACATTAATTCAAGAAAGGCTCAGAACAGCTCAGAGTAGGCAAAAGAGTTATGTCGATAACCGCCGGAGAGACCTCGAATTTGAGGAAGGTGATCGAGTTTTTCTAAAGATCTCACCAATAAAGGGCATCATGAGATTCGTCAACAAACGAAAGCTGAGCCCCGNTACATCGGACCCTTTGAAA